TCCAGTGATCCCATATTTCCGTAGGTCCTCTAACTGATGTCAGTTCATGAAAAATACCAAATTTATTTGATTATTCGATAATAAAACTGATAGGTAGTAACGTAGTCTTCTTCATTCACTATACAAATCTCAGTAAGTCTCTTATTCAACATTATTTGTCAAGAAATATTAGTTGGATCACCGTCGAAAACCTGTGAGGACTGAATGGCTGTCTGTTTCTAGTATGGAACTCCTGACTACTACGCACTGGCAACCCCGCTAAGGATGGAACTAACTCATGACCTACAGGTCTGGAGGTGAAAGCGACCCAAGCGAGGTGAGTGCTTAAAATATTTGCTGAAAAACCCAAAGGTTCAGAGTTCAATCCCTAGTGGGGTTGTGGGTGAGTAATACTGAGGAGTACCCCACTAGAATGAAATAGTTGCTCACTTCTCCCGCTGACGTTATTCCTTGAAATAAATAAAATCCCCATCAAACCTAAACTAAAGAAATATTAGTTTTGAATTGTTTATCATAGATCGATATCAGTTAGAGACCAGTTGAAGAAGTAGACACTTGACAGTTACTTCATTCTAGTTTGTAACTCTATGTTAAATTAAATCCAGGGCAGGGGTTGTTAAGTCTTCCAGCAAACACGTTGGCATTCGGCTACTGAATTGAAGTCCAAAGACTCATGTTTCCAGTTTCTGTACATTTGTGTTTTGTAAATCAGATTTATCGAATTCTCTGTCCACTTCAGGCCACTCGTTTGTAGATTACTAAGCAGAAGGGGACAGTGAGAACTTATCTCTTGTTCATTAGACATTTATAAGAATATGATATTTTGAGATAGTGATGTTTATGGTGAATAATTAATTATCTTTTACATACACAGTCTGATGTGTGGAAGTACTGCTTTGAAGGCTTTTACTACAAGTAGTTAGATTAATATGGAGTCAAAGTACTAAAATCACTAGACGCTTGATGTTAGGAGTCAGTCGGTGGGAAACCCCACCGGACTTCGATCTCATGGTTGCTCATACTGAACAATGAGGAGAATGATGCTTAATTGGTGATTTGAACCTGGATCATTCATTGAGAAAGTCAAAGACATTAGCCCCAAGCTCTTCAGACCACAAGTGATCCACTTTGAGAATAGATTATGTAGACAATTCCTTTACAGAACGGATACTATCTGATTTATTTATTAGATGAGAAATAGGTGATCCTGAGTGAAACAATCTGTCAGTTATTAGCCAATTAGTGCAAGGACGAATCTATATGTGCGGTAAGCATGTGCTCACTGATTACCTAACCAACCGCCTCTGGATAAGCGGCCCAGTGCGCTACCATGACTGAGCTTCAAAACCAAGCTGTTCACCAATGGGATCTTAATTTCGTCTCAATCATCGAGCGCTTTGTTTTACTGCCGGGTGAATTTGTGATGAGCTACCAACGCTTGATCATATTCACATTGGCTGAGCAGTCACGACTACTCCCTCAAGACAGACGGACAAAACCAACGTAGAACCTCGTACTTAAGTGCACAAGTTCAAGTTGTGACAGTTCGCAGTAATATGCGAGGAACAGGTGGATAGAAGAGTGATATCAGAGTAGACAAAGTTGTTTGAGAGCGAATAAGCAATCTGAAGATAAGGGGTAGTGCGAACATTCAAGCTATTGAAGACATCATTGCGACCAATTTTCAGTCATGTCACCAGGAGTCCCCAACCACTCTGAAAATCCTTTCAACCTAATCTAACTTCACCTAGCACTGCATGTTGAGGTAGACGGTGGCTCCGTATATGCAACACATATCCAAGCCATCTCAACCTCATCAATCGACTTGGCCATCTTGCCTAGTATTCTTCACCTGACTTCAACATTGGACACACGGGGATGCTTCCATATCCAAGCAGTTCTCAGAAGACACCTATGATCAGAAACCCGCAACCTTATCTTATCTGCTTTCGATGGCCATGTCTTTCAGTCGTATAATAGGACAGAACAGACTAGACTGGCGTAGTTTACTCGTCCTTTGACAAACAGTTGGATATCTCACCCCAATCCAGATTGAACTGAATCAGTTTGACTATCTGAGGCAGCCGTGGTTTAGCAGGCTTCTGTGATTGATACTGGATGATGATTTGGGGTGAAATGAAAGTTTGGGTAACTTGAGGATTAGAATCAGCCCTGCGATTTATCAACTGAGCTACAGGGCCAAGCTGCTGATCCAATCTTGACTTTTACATTCATTTGAATGATTATGAGTGGTTATAGTAAGAGGGTTAAAGTGAACCCTATTCAGAGCAGTTATCCCATTCATCGGAACAAGCTACTACAAATGTGGTAGGTAAGAATAGGCGACTAGAATTCTCCACAGTGATATTCTCTGCTCACTAACGTTTATATTCTACTTTTTAGCAATCTACTTATACTTGGACATATTTACACTTTGCTCAAAACTTGGTTGTTTATTTATAATTTCGTTAAATATCCAACTTGCTGTGTTTAGTGTATAGATGATTTAAACTACTTATATGATGTATAAGTAGTTTACGTTACTCTTCCAATTGGGATTTTTATTAACTGTTATTATTGTTTTTAGATATCATTGAGTGACAATATTTTGGACTTTATACAATAACAAAATGCTGTGTAGGCCTTTCTCTTGTTCCAGTAAAATGAGAACACCTACACTCATATATGTATATATAACTCAATGTGTCAATAGGTATTATTAGCATAATTGTTTAGAATAATATTTCACCTATATTTCCCGACTAGATCTCTCTCTCTGTCTCTCCATGATTATGCGTGTCTATACCAGTTAGCTTTTAGACGAGTTTCTCTCTCTTGCTGTGTGTGTGTGTGTGTGTCCATGTATGTTTTATTGAGTTAGAGTGATGAAAAGTGTTTGTTTCATAGTGTCGTTTATCTCCCTTTTATTATTTCCCTTGACTTTTCTTTCCCAATCATCATGTCAGAGACATGTCAATCAATTCTGGAATAATTTGCCTTCAATAGTGTTTCTTTTTTTGTCAATATGCCTATATGAACAGATGTAGATGTATATACACAAATGCACAAAATGTCACTCTTTAACCCCATCGCCCCTCTTTTTCATTATCCATATTTAACTTCAGTATGATATGGTATTGTTTTAGATGTTTCTCTCCTCTTCACCTACTCCTCGTATTATTGCAGTTTTTAATGTGACTTGTTCATTCAATCATTTTTGTCGTTCTGCTATGACTATCACAGCTAACTTTGTTGTTACTGTTGTTGTCTTTGTCCTCATGAATGTAGCTTTTTATTGGTGTGATTCCTTTTCTTAATGTGTTGTAATTTTTCTTGTTACTTTTCTCGTATGCTTCTCCTCTCTCAGTGATATTCCATATTTTATCATTATAGGATTACTTTTATATCATAAGCTACTAGTCAGTCACCTTTTTCTACTATCCTATCTACTTCCAGTTAGTCAGTCATTCATTATGTCAATCAGTCTGTCATCTCTCTCTCCCTCTCCTTCACTCTTGTAGGATGGATGACGTAGAGAGACTGGATATGTACCACCCAATCAAATTGTTAAATAGAATATGTACCTATTTATGTATCATACTAACTCTCGAACACTCTCTCACACACACACACACACATAGTAAATGTACATTCATATATCCATCAATCATTATCTCGTCTTTCCATCAATCAACCATTCATTCAATCAGTCAGTCAACTTAGGCAATGTGCATGTCAGTTCTACGAATGGAACACATTTTTATAAATTCTCCGGCTCTATAAAAATACCAAGATTGAAGGGATAACACGATGGCTGTCAATCAAAAATGTCGTTGAAAATCACCTCTTTTCATATAAACGTGTATATGTTTACGTGTGTGTGTGTATGTGTGTTCATTACATGTCCAGATAGACGAAAGAAATTCTTCAGACAGTTACCTGCCTACGTGCATCATGTCTGCCTGCTTGACTGACTGACTACGTGCCCGCCTGCCAAATATATCCTAAAAAATTGTCTTGTAGAAAAAAGAATGATTGAGTTAAGAGAGATGCCACCCAAAACTATTTTGTATGTGTGCTCATAACACCACTGACAAAAAAGTAGTTATATGCCATCAAGGGGATTGATATATTTATGTGGATATACGGCTGTTGTAGTATAGGGTCCATTGCAAAACTAGCTAACTAATCAGGTTAAATTGTTTACATAGGTAGTAAGCTAGTCAGTTGCTTGGGATAGAATGACACTTACTAAATTCCTTTAAGGCTAACTAGAAAATGTTTATTTTTCACAGTGTGAAAGTTGTGTTATTTACAATGAATTATTTATTTGATTTCTACTGGCTGTTATATTATAGATTATTGCCAGGTAATAAAAATGACTGATCTCTGTGAATGTGACATTGAGAAAGACAGAAAATGGTGTTGTTTAATGATACTTGTAATTTCGCGTTACTCTACTGTGTCGAGTTGTTCTACCTTTGTTGGTGAATGGGCTCTTATGAGGATGCCTTGATACTGCCCGGATAATCCTTATATTTTAATCTACATGGTGGTTACCAGTGGAATCCAGGATGCATGAAACTCATCAGCTGGATGTACCTGCACCCCAATGAGCAATGATATCAGCACTGAGACTCGAACCTAGAACCCATCGCTTCAATTACCAAACCGTTGTCCACTAAGCTACTTGTCCATGATGTTGTCAATGACTCGACGGTAATGTGTTGGCCGCGTGACTTTGAGGTTCTGGGTTCAATCCGTGGCGCGTCATTGATTAACCCGAATCGATCGGTCACTATTGGGATTTGAGCTCCTGTATACAGATACGACGAAATGCGAGTCCTGGATTCCCCTGCTAGGCACTACTACTAGAAGTAATGATATTGTATCACGTAAATTTAAACTTAAAAATTCTACTGTTTCTATATAGTTCAACTTGTAGTACATTAGTATACAGTCTTAATTATTTTTTTTATTTCCTTTTGTTTCTATTTCAGATTCATCAGAATGCACTAGAATTGGTCAATCACCGAACAAGGAGGTGAACAGTATTGGTCTCCATTCAATTAATGATAATAAATTACTGTCTAAATCATATGGTCATAATTTCCTTGGAAATATAATGAATATGACCAGCAGTAGTAGTAGTACGGCTACTAGTGGTAGTGTTGTTAACAGTAAAGCAGGAGTTGGAGTCAGTGGTGGCGGTAATGGTGGACGAAATAACAGAATAACTTTATCACCGAATTCTACTCTAAGCCATGATCAAAAACGTGGTCATCGAAATTCCAATGAATCCATGGGAAACAGTAATAGTTCTGTTGATCCAAACTCAATGGAGTCTGAGGAGAATTCGTCAATAAATCTATTGAATAATAACACATCAAACACACAGATGACAGTATCATCAACAGGGACAGGTGTAACAACTAATACACCATCTTCAATGGGATCATCACCAAACAGTAGTGGTGGTGTTGGATCAGGTGGATTATTTAGTATTAGACGTGCTGTAGGACTGTCCAGAACTAATTTACCCTTTCCAGCACGTAAACGCTTATTCGGTTGGTTGGTTGATCATCTAAGGGAACCATATCCATCAGAAGAGGAGAAAATGATGCTTGCCATGGAAACAGGATTATCACGTACTACAGTGAACAATTGGTTTATCAATGCTAGACGACGTTATGTGAAACCATTGATGCAAGGAAGACTTGTACTACAGTCTGGTGTCTTTAAAACAGTTTCCAATGATAATTGTAATACTACAACAACAGGAGGAGGAGGAGCATCATCATCATCAGCTTCTTCACCGCCATCACCTATATCAAATACTGTGAATAACAGTAATGCTTGTTTTGGATCAAGCCAGTATATGTCAGCTAATCCTTCTGTATCGTATAAGTCAAGTTATACACATAGTCCAATAAGTGAGAAAGGTCATCGTGAAAGATCTGGTTCTCGGCGAGGCGGTGGCGGTGGAGGTGGAGCCAACAGTGGATTTTCAAGTAATGTCAACAGTAACACTACTAGTAACATGAATAGTTCTCCTAGCCCGTTACAGTTTTCGAATTCATACAATCCATGTTCTCTATCCTCCAATAATGATACACCGAACTCATCGTGTCATATGAATAGTTCTTTCATTTCAAATGTGTTCTCAGCACAGCAAAACAATTTATCGCTAGGTAAACCTTCAGATTCAGCTGCAGCTATCTCAGCCATGGCAGTAGCTGCTGCAGCTGCTGCGGCTGTATACGCTGGAGCTAATATGAGTACTAACCGAGGTACATCATCATCATCATCATCATCGTCACCATCAGTGAGTGCATCAATATCTGGATCTTTGTCATCGGCACTCTCTCCAACATCTTCATTACTCTTCTCATCACAATTCAGCAATTTGCTTAACACAGCAGCAAATTCATCGACAAACATGAATCGAACTTCACGTACAGCATCTATTCATCATCTTCATCCTTCTCTCCAACATCATTCACAACACTCTGATAACTTATTATCTAATGAACATTTAGTAGATGGTATTACAAATCTATCAAAGAGTTTATTATGCTCCACTGCATCTGAACAAGAACGTATCATTGGTGGCAGTGGTGATTGATATGAAATCCACCAAAAAAAAAACAAAATTAGTTAAAAAGCATCTTCACAAATAATCTCGAAATTATCCCAATATTTCTACAAGACAACAAAATTAACAAGTTTTGATTTCTTTTCACAGATGATACTAAACGAAGGGTGTTATGTACATACTTGAATTCCAGTCAATGTTGACGCTATAGACAGTGATGTCTATGTCTATGGATTCCTGCGTAGACGCTTGACTCAGTGTTCAGGTGTATACGTCTAATTTCTAACCGTGTGTATCTGTACGGACGTGTGTGTGTGTGTGTGCGTGCGTGCGTGCGTGCGTGCGTTACTGCATATTTGTGATTATCACCAACGCGTTTATTGGCGCCCCCTTTTGTTGGCCCCCTAAAACAGATTGATTATCAAATGTAGTAGTGATAGAACAGTGTTGTTTGCAATGTCTCTTCATATCATCATTTTTAACTTTCCATTTTGTGTTGGTGTATTTCTCATTGATTCTTTGTTATCTTTTTATTTCATAGCTTTTTGTGACCTCATCTTAATTGTGTTGTTAACACGGTGGGGAGGGGAGAGAGAGAGGGGGGGGAGGGTAGAAACATTTTCTTCTCCTTCTAGATTTCTTCTCTGCAATTTTTTTTCTTCAAAAGTTGTCTCATTTCATATTTTTCACCTCTTTTTATCATCTGTTGAATAATGACAAGAAAGGAAATAACAGGTAATTATTGTAGTTAAATTTAAAAATGCCTCCCTTTTTCTTTTTTCAAGCAGAAAAACAAACAATTTGAGTAGTTGAGACGAAATGATTGTGAAAGAGGTTAACTTATTCAAATAGTAGTTTGTTGTTATTTTTTTACTCCCACTCCCCTTCTCGATTTACACACACACACACATACACATGCACACCTACGTTGTACTTTATTGAGTACCTTTCTTATCCACTTTTCTCTGTTATCTCCCTGTCTGTAAAGGGAAACAAAAGGAATATACACGTAGTAGCAGCTTGATGATTCTTTTCAAGGTCATGGTATTCAATACGTTACGTTTTTTCCGCGTTCTATGATTTGAGTACGCAAAAATATGTACGCGTAGGTGGCGTGTATACAATTTACCTGTATGCATATATATATATATATGATATGTACGTTGTGTACAGGACTATCAAATATTTTCTAGTATCCTACTAATAGGGTTGTCAGTACGTGCCTATTCTTCTCTATATAGGACTGAATAAAGGGGAGTTAAAATACAATGAACAATAAGTTGCTAAGGCAACACGTTACATACATGCATGCACACATGCACGTACTCACTTGCTACCTTGTCTACATCAAGTGAACTTCTCAAATATGAGGAAAAAGATGAATTTTTGAGAAAAAAAAACTGATTATTTACATATATTGCACAGACTGGACATATGAATTTGACAATATTGTTACTTCATATAATATTTACCCCTCATTCATTAAAAAAAAATTAAAATGATATAATAAGAACAGATTTACGTGTTTCGTTCTCCTTTTTTCTCTTCTTTTAAACGTCGATTGGTTTTACTTTTCTTTTATCCTTTTCATTGTTTGTCTCTTTTTTTTTTGGGAGGATCTCTATATAAATATAAAGGTTTTCTTTGCGTTTTTATGTTTATCATACAATTTGGTTAATAAAGGGAGATGAAGTGAAAATCTGACTTGTCGTAAGATTCAAACCCGTGGTTCTAGTAGCCAATCCAACTCGAATTGATCCAAAGGTGGAGGAGGGGAGGAGAAGGATACTGACTGGGAAATTAAGATCTAGTCGGTACCTCTATCTAGTAGCTCAGTTGGCCAATCAGCAGGACAATGACTTGTAGGCCGCTGGTTCGAATCCCGTCGCTATTAAAGTATCAACAGTTGATTTACAGAAAACGAACAGTTATTACACGTTTGTTCTAATTTGAAATTACGCAAGAGTACCCACTTAAACGACCCGAATATGGTTAGGTCTAGGTTAGTCATGTCTCATGACTATCATGTTACCCATGGTTTCATTCTCCGATTCATGTCATTCATCATACACTGTGATCTTCGTCCGTTGTCATCAATAGGCATTTATCTTCCTTTAGAGTGAATGACCTCTGAAGACTGAATTATTTACAATATACGAGTTCTGAATGAAGTTGAATAATTTGGACTAAAATTGTTGAAACTAATAATTCATCGTCATCTAGATCTACTATTTTGTCTGGGAAGTAGACTCTATACTTCACACTCTGTAATAAAGTTGGATTGAGCTTGTAACTCAAGCGCATCCTATAACTAAGTTACTGAAACATTTGATTAATAAATGACAAACTATTCATTTCAATGTCGCCTCAAAACACTTTTCGAAGTTTTTATCCTATTTCTTGACTAGGCTATCTCGAAAAATACTGAATACTGTGCTGTACTAATGAACAGTTTTGTTGAAATTTATTCCCACCCACCCACCTCTTTAAAATTGCAAATCCATGACTCCACAAAGAGAAGAGTCTAGGACGGCAAGACGTCATCCAGTTAATCCGCACTGTCACTTCAAAATGTTCTTTCAAATCATACTACTACATTGATGGGATGGATGGCAACACGAAGGATGCCATGGACCTAGGTTTCGCACTTTTCGGCACTCGTCAATAAGGCGTTTCTGTACCCTTAACAAAACTGTTGTCCAAGGCTTCCTGCAGTTTGGATACATCCATCTATCTCAGTGCATCAAGATGGGGAACCTTCTAGCCCGGTGGTCACATTGAAAAATGATTGATATAATTTAGTCAACACTTAGGATTAGACTACACGAAATCGGTTACTTTTCAGTAACCAGTCCATTAACTTCAACATTTCTTGATAAGATTAGATCAAATTCTCAAGGCAAGAGCTTCGAATGTTCAGTTTTCAGGTAACGCGGATAACTTAAATCCCTTTTAGTGTTCTTAATGATGATTAAGGTGAAAAAACGATGGAAAGACAGTGTCAATCAATCCATCAGACAGCAGAGAAGCCCAATTCAACTTTACAATTCTAGAAGTTCCTATGAGCCAATACATACATGCTCATGTCTGCCGCTGGACTTAAACATTCTGGAATAAGGTAATTCTGTTCAAAGATCTCTTTCACAGTGTGAATGGTTTATCCAGTTGATTGTTCTGAAAAGGTCCAACATTTCAATGAGAAGAATTTAAAGGAAAGTTTAATTTCTCAATTAAATTATAAGAAAATAGGATAGTGATAGTGAGTTAGAGTTGAAAATGGTTGACTACTGTTACATGATGATGGTGAACGATTCATGTATAAATTAGTCTAAGAATAACAGTTCAGGTTGTGAGATCTTGTCTCATCAATCATTCACTATACGACATTAAACAAGATATCGATTTCAGGTGAAGTAATGGGATTCGCTTACCGAACACACACAGATGAGACTCATCTGGCTTAAGTATCGTCTCTTCATTGTTATCATTAGCACTCGTGTCTCGAACAGCTTAGTGATAACGTGGTTGACTACAGCACTGAGTGATACGGGTTCGAATACTAGTGGGGACAACAGTTCCCTCCCTTGAGGTTGCAGATATGCCTTGCCGACGAGTGTCAAGAAGTAAGAAACCGAGGCCAATCAGTGCTTCCAACTAAAATCTAATGCCAAGCTTCCTAGCTTGGTAAACACACTGCAAAGTGGTCCATAAGACTCGATCAGCACTCAGGACTAGATAGCGTGAAGTTGGTTGCTGTAACTTGTTTTGCTTCCATCCACAAAGCAGTTTCTGTCGTACTATCCTGAACTTATTCTGTAGTCAGGGAAAATTTTTTAAAGGGTAGGAGAAGTTTGGAACAGTTTAGTCGGCGATCAGTTGTTAGGTGGGCAATAATATTGATAGGATCAAGTATATTGTCCCGTTATTTACTCTGTTCTACTATGAGACTGTGAGATATATGGTCAGTGGAAGTGGAAGGACTGGAAAGCTTTTTTGTCCTAGTATGCTACTCCTCAGCAGTTTGTACTGGTAAACTCCCAGAGTTTGAACTCAGGACAAGTGTATAATACACTTCAGTTAAATTATGTGTCAGTTTCACCAATGCTTATACTTTTGTGTATTTGGAATCAATGTGACAATTAGAATACATTCCGTGTTTTCTACTCATACAAACCCTTAGGATCTTTGCCAATGGCTGAATGGATGGGTTACTTAGAGAGATGAAAGGTTTATTTTTGATCAATAGATTTAAGGATTTGCTGATTTAACAGTAATTTTGAGCATAGAGTAAAATCAGCTGGAGAAATATTATATACCAAGGAGTACTGGACAGATGTCTCAATTTAGCTTGAAGCACCTCGGCACTGTGGAGGTATGACCCTGCCGATGGTCAAGCTTAAGACTATCAGGTCTTACGGTGAGTACGCTACCATTCCCCCACTGGGATGAAATCTAATGATCCATTATCGTCCAGTGTTATCGACGGACATCCATCTCACTTAGATGATCCCAGAGGTTACGGCTTTTTGTTAGAATCTCCAGAAATCTATCCAGAAGCATTTCGCTAATAACTGATGAGTATTGTTTTCTGACTTATTTGTGGACTTTGACGGACTCCTATGAGGATACCAGTAGTGGCCCATTAGTTCGACCCAATTAATGACAGAGATTCACAAGCTACCACGTCAAAACTTTACAGTATTCATCTTACAAGCATTTACTATCGTGACTCAGGAGCCTAGTGGATAATGCTCTGGCATTTGAAGCGATTGTTCTGGGTTTGAATCCTAGTGGGAACAATATTACTCATTGGGAGGCAGGTACATCCAGTTGACGAGTCCCAAATAGGACGAAACGTGCATCCTGAATTCCACTGCTAACCACTACCCATTATCCCTATTCGTTAATTTATCACTTCCCGCCTCCCCTAAAACTTAGGAAGGGATACCTTAGCGGTGCATCTTTTAAAGTTGTTTATCGCTGTAAACATTTCAATGAACTGATTAGTGGTTTGAAAATAACTACAGATGAGCTAATTGGAGGCAAGGTTGTAACTTCAGTATAAAAATCCCATATTCGGACGAGTATTCAGCCTACTATGGTTTAATCACTTGAGTTTTTACCATCTCGTCGTAGGTTCTAGCTCTTCTCCACCTACCGGGGTAGTATGAGTAATTCGCACACAATAGGTGTGGCTTATTGTCTATTATAAAAATGTGCATACGGTTTTTGAACTTATTTCAATATTTTTCTATTTACTATGACTTGGTGAGTGAAATGTGGTATTTTTGACAGCATGACGTCGTTCTGTGGTACCATTGATACGTTTGTAACACAGCACTTACTGCTACCGTTATTACTGATAGAGAGATTATGGGATTGCTGATGAACAGATAAGTTTTTGAAGAAACTTCTTTTACGATGTCTAATTTCTTGTAAAACCTTTATCTCCTTCTTGTTAGTCGTTCTTTGGACTCAAACTGTTCACAGAAAAATATGATAGTAGAACTTAGGTGTTATGATAAAGTTATGCTGCTCGAATAGTCCAATAAAGAAGTTTGTCACTGGAGATTAATTTCATAGATACACGGTTATAGTTTCAAACGGTTCTTCATAAAGAATTTAAAACAAAAATACTGTAAGGGATTTCCATCATGATTATCGTTCAATACTATTACTGAGCTTTCGACTAGGCGTAATCTCATAGGTTACAACTTTATATTAGAGCTTCAAGAAGTTGGGGGTGGGAGGTTACTCTTGTGCTCCAATGACCTAGTAAAAAACGCTTCAGCGCTTGAAGCGATGGGGGAGGGGGGAGTAATATCATCCACTGGAGGGTAAGTACTCCAGGTAACGAGTATCGAATAGGACGAAACGCGTATCGTGGATTCCACTGCTAGCCACCAAATAGAAAACACTGAATAGCTGTTGAAAACACCAATTATCGCATATATTCACTATTCAATTCGACTATATTTTGCATTGTTTTACTACTTTTGTATCATCAGCATTGTTTATACTATTCATAGGTATTTTTATTGGTAGTAGTAAGATGACTTAAATATAGTATTGATATTGTTGTTAGGGTAACCAAGTTCATTGTATTTTAATCAAACAAAACACACTGTGTAAATGATTTAAAGAACAAATATGGGCAATATTTTGTGACAACGCCTATATTTGTTTAGTTATTATTGCTTAATCAAAGTAAACATGAAAATATATTTTATTAAAGTACTTAACAGTGAGGGATGTTGAATAGATGACTGAGTATTACAAACAACAGATTAACAGCATACTATAAAAGTTTGAGTTACTATGATCAATGAAGACAGGTCTTGTCAGCTACTGACTTTTATTCGATAGGCCAAATGGCGGACTAATCAACATTTTTGAGATATGAAGGTGGTATTAAATGGTGAAGGGAATCCAGAGGAAGGCTTGATTTACCTTCTGTACTAATCAGAAAGGTGTATTAATCTACTCTGAGACTTGAATCCGTGACACTTAGTGATTTCAGTATTTCAAGGAAGACTGTATAGAAGAAGTTATGCATATAAATTGGACTCTTTTTAGCCCCAGGTTAGTAAGTTGCCAACAATTTTATCAGTGATATTTAAATTCACACTGTTCTGAATCCAGTATATGT